ACACTTACTGGTTGGAGCTTGTGAGGGAGCAGAGGCTGGGGATATCTTTGTCTTCTAGAATATACCCACTTAGGGTTTCCATCTCAGACACATCTATCTCTTTCTCTTCTAGAATACCCAAATTGTTTTCGTTGGGGGAGGAATGAAGGAACTGTGGAAATGCTTTTATTGGCACGTGTTATTGAGGTGGCACGTGGCTTTACATTTGTAGTTTGCAGCTCTTCACTTCAATCTAGACATTATTTCCCAAATTTTCAGCAACTTACAGTAATATATTACCAAAGCAAATTCAAATTAGAATTAAATAGTAGTAAATTGATCAACACCTTACCCTCAATCCCATGGTTATGTTCAATATTTCAAGAAGGGTTGAAGGAGGTTCTTAGCGTTAGGATGATCCCACTCCAATGATTCCCACCATTCTTTTGAACTTGCACCTATCCAGATTTCTCTAAGATGAGGAGGAGGAGATGGTTGGCCGTTATCAAGTTGGGGAAGTTGCACAGGGATCCTCTTTAACTTCGGACATCCAACCATTTCAATTTTTTCAATAGAATTACAAACCATAACTCCTTTGGCACTGCAGATGCTCTTCAATTGGGGTAAGCTGAACAAGCACAATTCCCTTAACTTAGGAAAAGTGAAAGTGAATTTATCCGATGATGATGCATCAGAATCTAATGATGCTATTATCTCCTGCATTTGATGGCAAAAATAAACTGTAATCGACTCTAAGTTTTGGAGGGCCTGCAGTAGCTCAAGTGGAAGCAACTTCCTTATTCCCGAACAACTCACTACACAAAGCTCTTTAAGATTGGAAAAGACGTGCGGTGGTGTTGCTTCTCCTTCCACTCTCACAAGTTCACACAACCTAGGCAATTGAGAAAGCCATAGCTCTTCAAGCTTATCAAATACAGGACAACGCAATGAGGAAGAGGAGGATGAGTCCAACTCAACCACGCACTCTATCTCTTCACAAGACCTAATATTGCATGCCTTCAACTCATTTGCTTTTTCTAACAGAGCTATTTTGCTTAAGCTGCTTCCCATGTTTTTAAGCCCAATTATCGACAAATCTTCAAGCTTATTTGGAAGCACTATACATTTTTCCCCGATCTCGCAACCAGTAATTACAAGCTCATGTTTGCTCCTTCTAAGCCTGTCTTCTACACTCCCAACTAGAAGACTGTAAGTAATAGCCCTTTCGAAATCTTTGAACTTGTTGACAAAATAATTAAAGTCTTGTATGCCATCAAAGTTACATTCTAAAGTCTCCAACTTCTTCAGTCTAGCAACCTCTTCAAAATTTCTCACTATTGTAGTTTCTCGCAAAAAACAAACAGCCAAATACTGGAGACTAGAAAGGTTAAGTAATATTCCTATTGGAATCTCTTTCAGATTTGGACAAAATAACAAATCAAGATATTCAAGACTTATCAACATCCCCATGCCTTGTGGGACCACCTCAATCCCTGCCTTATACAAGTCCAACTTCTTCAATCCCTTGAGGTTTGCCAAGGAAGGCAAGTACTTTAACTTCTTGCAAAGCTGTAACCGTAGGGTAGATAGATTCTTCAATTTAGAGATGGAAGTAGGTAGAGTCTCAACAGCAGTGCTAGAGAGATCAAGAACCTTCAAAGTAAGCATCTCTCCAAAAAAAGATTCTGGAATCTCTGACAAATTAGAATTACTTGACAATATTAATGTCGAAAGGGTGGAACACTTTGGGGACAGACTAAGAGGAACTTTTAAAATGTCATTTGCCATTAGAGACAACTTCTTAGGATCTTTTACCCAACCATGCTCATCTGGTAGCTTTACCAAATTCATACCAGCTTTTATCATATATCCAAATTCAGGACCAATGCTTACGATAGCCATATCTCTCACTACATCATGCATCTTAGCCCTAGGTATAACAATTGAATATGCAAGAAAAGCAGCTAACCTATCATCTTTCTCTAATAAGAAATTTTTTTCAAGCCTATCTATAATAGCATGGCCCCTCTTATAAGCTGCTTCTCTACTTGGCAACCCATCAATTAGTCCTTCATCAATCCAACATTCTATCAACTCCCTTCTAGAAAACGCATAATCCTCTGGAAAGAATGAGCAATAAAGAAAACAATTCTTGACTTCCAAACTATCCAACCGATCAAAACTAAATCTTAATCGGTTAAATATCTCATCATTTGAATCTTTCACACTCCTTACACGATCTCGTAATTCAATCAATGCATTTTCCCACACATTAACATCATCAACTCCCCTCATGCTCCCAGCTATGACAACAATGGCCAATGGTAAGCCAGCACACTCTTCCACAATAAGCTTCAAGATTTCTTCCAACCCTGGAACTTCTAAAACAACATCCCCAACTGTATTGAGAAATAAATTTAGAGACTCCTCTTGTGAAAGAGGTTGCACTTTAACAATCTTACAACTCAAATAACTGCATACTTCAATTGATCTACTAGTGACAACTACTTTGCACCCATTCTGCGCCTTCGGATCCG